TGCCTGCCTACGTGTTCTTCATCAGGATTGCAAAGAAGGCAGGGCTTAGGTCTTCGCCTCTGTGCTTGTGTCCTGTCTCAGCCTCGCTTGTAAAGGAGTCCAGCACAAGCTGCTCTGTAGATGATGCTGTTGGTGATGAGCAGAAGAGAGTGATTTTCAGTCAGGAGCTGGCTCTCAGTTTGTGTTCTTTCCTGTGATATGCAGTGTTCCAGGCTGGCAGCTTGTTGAGAATAAAGAAAACTGCGTCCCTCTAGATACGCTGTGACTTGGCACCAGCTGAAAGCAAACCACACACCCGACAACCTTCAACACCACAGAGGACCTCATCTCTCCCTTCCTTCTTTCCACAGGAAATGCTCCCTGACCACAGCACAAACCATCCCCAATTGTTTTCTCCAATCCTGTCCTGTCTTTTCTTACAATTTTCCTTAGGAGGAGGGGGAGGGGGAGGGGGAGTAAGGGACGCCCCCAGTACTACAGGAGGGAGGGAAGTAGGGGGAGAGAGAGAGAGAGAGGAGAGAGAGAGAGAGGAAAAAGGCCAGGGATGTAGTTCTGTTGCTAGAGTGCTTGCCTAGCATGCACAAGGTCCTGGGTTCAGTACTCAGTACTGGGGGGCAAAGAAAGAGAGAGAGAGAGAGAGAGAGAGAGAGAGAGAGAGAGAGAGAGAGAGAGAGAAGGAAGGAGGAAAGGAAGGAGGGAGGGAGGGAGGAAGACAAAATCTGATCTAGGACTTGAGTGGTGCCTGGGGAGTAGCCTAGGGGTAGAAAGGCACTGGCCTCAAGTGGGTGAGGCCGCTGACTGGGTGCCAAGCTTGGGAGCAGGAAAGCAAACTGATGAAATTTCAATGCTTTTGTTGGGAAAAATGGTTGAAATTACAGAACATTTTCTCAGGTGCTTTGTTTCTTGCATTTTTGTCTTTTTGTCTCTCAATGTCTCCTAGCCGATACAATCACACACACATACACATATACTCATTCATACAGTCACATATACACACTCAAATACACTTGTTCAAACACACACACTTACACATATACATATATACATACATATATATATAGGCATACTCCTTCAGACATAAATACTCATATATACACATGCATATACACAATACACATACACACATACATTCACACATGCACACTCACACATACATACACACAATTACATGCATACACTCACTTATACACACACATTCATACACAGGCACACGCATAAATACATACTCCTATAGACACATTCACATGTACACATTCATACACACATATATACATATTCACACACATGTACACATATAGACACATACACACTCATCCACACTTACGGACACACACTCACACATACACTCACATATACATACTGTATAAAGACATTTTGGTTGCTGGGTATGGTGGCGTATGCCTTTAATCCCAGCACTCTGGAGGCAGAGGCAGGAGGATCTCTGTGAGTTCAAAGAGTTCAAAGCCATCCTGGTCTACATAGTGAGTTCCAGGCCAACTGGGCCTGCAGGGAGACCCTACCTGAAAAAGACAAAAAAAAAAAAGGCATTTTGGTCAAGGACAGATCATATAAACAATGGTGATTCTTTAAGGTGATGTTCTTAAAAAAAAGATGATTTTGGGGGGATAAGCTATGTCTGTATATACTATGCAAATTTCTGTGCTTTGTGTACCTATCTGGAAAGAAAATTCAAAAATTTATTGTGTATCTAGGTGCTTCATGATCTTTCTCTTTCTCTCAAAGTTTAAGAATCCCTAGAATTAAAGAAGAGAGAGAAGAACTAGAGACAAATCTAGAAGAATGGCCACATCTGGAAGTCTTGAAGAGAAGCTGGGGCTGAAGAGATTGCTCGGCCGTTAAGTAGTCTCGGCTACTTGTGCAGAGGATCTGTGCTCAGTTCTCAGCCATATGGCAGCCAACAACCATCTGTTACTCCAGTTCCAGATCTGACACCTTCTTCTGACTTCCTAAGGCATTGCATGCACATGGTACACACATACACACACACACACACACACACACACACACACACACACACACAAAGCACTTATACACACAAAAATAAAGATTTTGAAAAGAAGGTGAAGTTTATAAAAGCCTGGGAACTACTGACTCCTCAGGCAGCAGGTAGATAAGCTCGTTGTCTCTGGAATCAGATTCATCTGAGCTCAGAGCCTAATATCTCCATGTGTTAACCTTTCTGCCTAGGTGTCCTGGGTATCCTAGGTGTCCTTCAGTTTTTCAATGGGATGACAGAATCTACTCGTAGAGTTGTGGCAAGGATTAGGTGAAGTCATTCACATCAAACGACTCCCTGCTGTCCTGCTGAGTTGATGTGTGTGACCTCTGTCTCTACTTGTGCTCTTTACATTTTCCTGTCCACTTTCAAATTCTATTTACATTTTTTATGTGTATGAGTGTTTTGACTGCATGTATGTAAGTACACTTCTGTCATGCAATGCCTGAGGAGGTCAGAAGAGGGTGTAGGATCCCCTAGAATGGAAGTTACAAATGGTTGTCAGCCGCCATGTGGGTGTGAGAATCAAACCCTGATCATTTGCAAGAGTAGCCATTGCTCCTAATCACTGAGCCATCTTTCTAGCCCCTTCCTGTCCAGTTTATGGCTCCTTCTAGGCCAAGTATAGGCCTTTGTGGGGCCAACTAGTGCTATTATTTTCTCACTTTACAAAATCAATCAGTGTGAGGTTGTACTCTTGGCTGAATGTTTTCCTTTCAGTTCCTCCAGGGCCTGTTTGCAGGTCAGTCTCTAAATCGCTTGTTTGCACTTTTCCCGTCAAGGTAGGGCACAGCGAAGGCTGGAAGACTGATGCCTGGAGCCAAGCAAGCCAGCTCCTTTGGGAAGGAGAGCCAAATCAGCCCTAGGAAGGGAGTCTGCAGTGCCCCAGTTAGCTGCAGCCTCTGAGGCCCTGGCTGTGGCCTACTTTCCTTTTGTAATTTGCACAGCAAGCCAGAAGATGGGGCTCTTGACCCTGGAGTCAGGGGCCAGAGTCTGCCTCCAAGTTTGAACTAAAGGAAAATCAGATTCACTAGGGCTCCTGGAATCACCTTTACTTCCTCATTTCTTGTCCTACCCAGCCCACTCCTACCATGGCTGAGACCTGTCTTATGGAGCAGTGAGGGATGTGGGAATTTCTCCCCTTTGGCCTCCACAACCCTTGAATGGGCCAGTCTAACTGACCTCAGGTTTGTCTTCAAATCTGCCGTGGCTTCAAGATTTATTTTTTTTATATATTATGTGTATGAATGTTTTGCCTGCATGAATTTAAGTGCGCCATTTGCGTGGTGTGCAGTGCCCACAGAGGTTAGAAGAGAGTGTTAGAGCCCCTGGAACTAGAGTTATGGATGGTTGTTAGCCACCATGTGGGTGCTGGGAACCGAACCTGGGTCCTCTGTAAGAGTAGACAGGGCTCCTAACTGCTGAGTCATCTCTCCAACCTGCCTCAATCCATTTGTAATAGATTGAAATAAAGGTGCATATATTTGCTATTTTCTATATACCCAGCATTCTTTGAGGCTGTGTGGAGTGTAATGGCATAAGAAAAAGAATCATTGCTAGTAGGCTCAGAAATTGGTCAAGGGGCTTATACAGAAGATGGGAAATAAAGTTCTTTATGTGTGTAAGTCTTGTCTGTGTGTGTTTGTGTATGTGCTGTGTGTATGCATGTTCATGTATGAGGATGTGCATGGAGGCCAGAGAGCAATGTCTTCCTCAGTAGCTTTCCATCTTATTTTTCGGACAGTCTCTCACTGAACCTGGAGCTTGTGGATTTGTCTAAATTGGTTGGCCAGCAAGCCCAGGAACCTTCCCGTCTCTACCTCCCCAGCATTGGAGTTACAGGTTTTCACCACTAGATTGGTCCTGGTGATTGAACTCAGGTCCCCGTGCTTGCTAACAACTACTTTGCTGACTGAGCCATCTTCCTAGCCCCAGAAATACAAGCCACATCTTGCTTCCAATTTTGAGGAGGATGGATGATATGCAAAGGTTGAAACCTCCCTCCTCCTCTTCCTCTTCCTCCTCCTCTTCTTCCTCCTTCTCCACCTCCTCCTCTCCCCTCATGGCCCCCTGCTTCTTGACATGGGGTCTCACTATGCAGCCCAGCCTTCAACTTCCTATTGTACTGCTTCAGCCTCCTGAATGTTAGGATTATAAGACCCGCACCACCAAAAGGGTTGAACTTTAACACGTACTGGACTACTGTAGATTTGCCAGAGGCTGAGAATTATTCGCAAAGATCCCTTTCCCCCTAATTATGTGAACTCACCTCCAGTCTCATGTGATAGTGCATGTAAAAAGGCCCCTTTCCTCCTCTTAAGCAACAGAGGCTTGCTTGGGTCTTAGCCGGTCTCTCTTTCCTTTAAAACCCAAATAAAATTAAATACATTCCACATCATTCTCTAACCTTGCTTCAGATCTGTTCTGTTGTTAAGCAATAATTTGCCTGAGATCATTTCTTGGAAAAGTGGAAATTCCTACTTGTGGAACTACTTCAAAAATCAACCTCAGCTCAACTCCTGGACGCAGGGAGACCTAAGTCTTGTAGACAGCCTGTGGTGGGGGTCCGACAGCTGCCTGCCTGCTGCTCTTTAACGCTGGCCACTAGCTCAAGGATTAACAAGTCACTTTAGAAGACCCTCTCTAATCATCACTTCCTCCTGCAATCCTCGTCTGATCCTGAGGGAGATGTCCTCATAATTTAGTCCGAGGACTAAAACCAGAATAGGCAAACTCAGTTTCCAGGAGTCAGGTGCAGGCACGAATAAAGGCCGGATTTTCAATTCCTAGTTGGAAGGACCTCAGAGCCGGGAGGCCCCTGAGGGGAGGGAGGCGGTTTCCATGGCAACCGGGCCCAGGAGCGGAAGACTCCGCCGCTCCCTCCTCCCCCTCCTCCTGGTAGCCCCGGGTACCGCCGGACAGCGTCCTCCGGTGCTCCGCGCCCTGATTGGCTGCTCCGGCCACTCATTGATTGGCTGCGCCCGGCGCCTCGCGGGCGGGTGGCTTTAGAGGCGGCGGTGGATGGTTGACTGTTGGCTCCAGGGTAGGGGTCGCAGCGCGTGCGATTCGCCCACACAGGACCGGAGGGTGCGGGCTGCTGAAGCTCAACCTGGAACCCACCGGCGAGACCAGGCTCGGCCCGGCCATGCCCGCCGGGAGCAACGAGGCGGACGGCGTCCTCAGCTACCAGGTGGGCCCCGCCTCCCGCCCCTCCCCGGCTCTGCCTCGGTCCTCTGCCCGCCGCGGAGCTCCTGCCCTAGAGGGACTCCCAGGCCTGTGGACACCCCAGGGCCCCGGAGGCCAGCGCGGGACGCCAGGGGGCGCTCCGGGCGGCCGGGCATCCTCCGGACCAGGAAGGATGACCTTGGGCCGAACCCGGGGACCGCCACTGCCGCATCCCCTGCATCGCCTGCAGCTCGGCGGCGACCTAGGTCCTCCGGGCTCCCCTGGCCGCCGAGGCCGGCTTCTGGCCTTGCGTCGTCCCGCCGGAAGGTGGGCGAGAACGGTAGCCGGGGACCTGGCTCTGGTCTTTGTGTTGTTTCTGGTTCCTCGGTGGCTTAGAGGAACCGTTGGACTGGAGGCTGGGCACCGTCCCTGATGATGTGGCCGGCTTTGTGTTTCCCCGCCCTACAGCACACAGTTGACAAGTTCTGGGTAGGAAGTATACGGGCCAGGGAAGCCATGAGGGATTAGGAACAGGTGATTTAAGGGAGCGATAAAACCAGGCTTAAGTAATTGATACCAGAACTGCTGGGGCGTTAAAGTGAGGAAACCTTGGGCTAGGTGTTAAGTCTGTGGGCTCAAATCCCACATGTGCTCCGTATTGGCTTTGTGACCTTGTGCGAGCTACTCGCCTTCTCGAACCTCAGTTTCTCCATCTATTAGAATGGAAATGTGGTGTGCATGGCTTACTTCATAGCACTGTTTTTAGGACTTGTGAAACCGTGTTTATTGTGTGGTACCCAGGGAGTGAGTGGTAGCTTATTGAATTCTCTCTCCCACTTTCTTGTCCAGCTAGATGGTGAGGTTACTTGCCCTGGAAAGGTCTTGAAGGAGGCAAGGGAACCCAGACAAGTACCGCCACAGGCAGGATGACAGGGCTTGGAAGCAAATGGCATGTTGACGTCAGGGATGGGTTCTGGGAGGAGACAGGGAAAACAACCCGAATTTATAGCAGAATGGGTATCAGACACTTGCTCCTTTTGGGGAATAGCACTTTGCTTGCCTGTCACAAAAAGAAATAGATGTAAGATTTTGGAAAATCCAATATACTCTTGTGGACTGCTATATAATAATTTCTGGGATACAGTGGTGAGCGAAAATAGGCAATGCCTTTGCCCTCTTGAAGCTTACCATCTAGTGGGAAGGGAGAACTAGCTTGTTTTGTTCCTGGTGGTGCTAGAGATGAACACCTCATGCATGCTAGGCAACCACTCTACCACTGAGTTATATCCCCTGCCTAAAGTAAGCATTGTGCATATGTGTGTTGAGTGTGCACATGTGTTTGTGTGTGTTCATCTGTTCTTGTTCACGTGGATGCTAGAGGTTGACATCGGTACCCTTTGATATCCTTTATCACTCTCCACTTTATTTATGAGATGAGTTCTCTCACTGAACTTGACACTTGCCATTTCAGCTAGACTGGTTAGTCAGTGGGCTGCTGGGATCCGCCTGCCAGGATCTGCTTGTCTACACACACACACACACACACACACACACACCACACAAAAGCCCCGGGGTTACAGCTATACACTGCCATGCTGACTTTTTATGTGGGTGCTGGAGGTTTAAACTTAGTTCATATGTGTGCAGCAAGCAGTTTACCCTTGAAGCTGCCTTCCCAGCCTCCCAAAGTAAGCATTTTTAATCAAATAATCACACAAAAATACTTAGTCCCAATAGTTTTAGGCTGAGACAGGAGGATTGTGTGTTCGAGGTCAGTGTGGGCTTGAAAAACTAAATGTATGATAATGTATAATTATAAATTATGGTGCTTTGGAAGTGTTTCATGCAGTCCTATGAGAGTGTAAATGACTCAGATCACAGAAGATTTTTCTAAGGAGAAAAATTTGGACATAGATCTGAAAAATGAGTATCAACTGAAGAAAAAGGGTAATCAAAGGGACTTGGAGACAGAATATCATGTACAAAAGTCCTGCGGCAGAAACAGCGTGTATAAAAGTCATGGGGCATATTCTGAAAGGACAGTGTGGTAGAGCCACAGGGGCCACTGAAGGGAGTGGGGTGAGGTATGTTCTGGGTTTGTAACAGCAAGACATTGTGGCCCCTGATGAAAAAGCCAAGGAACAAGGAGATGCCACTGGTAGGGTTTAAGCAATGAGGGGGAGGTGAGACAAGAGAGGACTCAAGAGAGGTTAGATGAGATCATGATCAGATTTTTCTGTTGAAAGATCCCCATGGCTGCAGTGGGGAGAACAGGCTGGACGGAGCCAGGGTAAGGAGACGGTGTCCTTAACATGCCATCCATCCATTGAGAGGGTCATAAGCCTTAGGTTTCTGTTAATGTTCTATAAAACTGATGACCCCTGAGTGCTTCTGGAGGGAGGACAATGATTGTGTCCTTTACATACAGTCAAGAAACTTTTGTAGATTGTGGAGTGGAGAGGGAATGGAAGGGAACAGTGGGTCCTCATGAAGTTAGGCATCAGACAGACAGGAACTTGAGATATGGGGAGGGAAGGAGGTTGAGGGTAGAGGGAGGAAAGGAAAGGAGGAGAGGCAAGTCAACTAATAGACCAACTAAGCTTCCTTTGTGCTGGAGAGACGGATCTTGCAAAACGAAGTAGATTGTGTGATTTCACGGAAACAGGTTCCAGACACCACATCTGCACATCGGCAGTTTGGGCTGGTTTCCCTAGGGTGCACTCCTACCCCAGCCTTCTAATGCTGCCTTTCTGCCATCACATTGCAGCCAAAGGGAAATTTTAGAAGAAATACAAGGCAGATCAAGTCATATTCTGTCTTGAAACCTGCCAGTCACTTCCCAGTGCATCTTAGAATAACGTCCAAACTGTGGTTTTTCACTCTTCCTAGGCTCCTCTCCTCCACTCTGCATCCAACTCGGCCTTGCTTTGTGTTTCTTCAGTATGGCAAGTTCTTTCACACATTGGGAACTTAATTCTTAGTCATTTCTGACACTCTTCTAGCTTGACTTTCACTTCAACTCACATGTATGTATATCCTTACAGTGGCTTTCCCTGACCTCCAGTTCTGTATTATATTCTGTTCTAATTTGCTTTCTGTTGCTGTGATAAGACACCATGGCCAAGCCGGGCGTGGTAGCACACACCTTTAGTCCCAGCACTTGGGAGGTAGAGGCAGGTGGATCTCTGTGAGCTAGCCTGGTCTACATAGTGAGTTCCAGGCCTGCTGGGGCTACAGGGAGACCTTGTCTCAAAAAGAACCAAAAAAAAAAAAAAAAAAAAAAAAAAAAAAAAAGACACCATGGCTAAAAGCACTGATTGAAGAGCGAGTTTATTCTGGCTTATGGTTCCAGAGGGATAGAGAGTCCATCATGGTGGGGAGGCATGGCAAAGGCAAGCGTGGGGGCAGGAGCAGGTAACCAAGTGATCACATCTCAACTATATGAAGGAAGCAAGGAGAAGCTATAACCCCCTCCCCCCCCAAAGCCCGATCCTGGTGGTATACTTCTTTTAGCAAAGGTCTACCACCTAAGGGTTCCATAACCTCCCCAAACAGTACCACCAACAGGGGACCAAGACTTCAAATATATGAGCCTTTTGGGGACATTTCTCATCCAAACCACAACCCCCCCAAGTTACACTGCTTCATAGGATCCTATTTCCCTTTTTAATTCATATATATATATATATATATATATATATATTTCAGATAGGCCTTGACTAGCCTGGAGTGCCCTATGTAGACCAGGATGGACTCAACACATAGACATTTGCCTACCTATGCTTCCCAAGTGCTGGGATTACAAGCCACTGTAAGGAGATACACGCCCGGCCTTTAAAATTTTTATTTTTCATAGCTGGAGAGATGGCTCAGAGGTTAAGAGCACTGACTGCTCTTGCAGAGGACCCAGGTTCAGTTCCCAGCACCCACATGGCAGCTATGAACCATCTTTAACTCCAGTTCCAGGAGAATCCAAAGCCCTCTTCTGACCTCCGCAGCATTGCACTACACAGGTGCACTCACATACATGTAGGCAATACACTCATACACATAAAAATAATAAATAAAATTTATTTTTCTTTTATGTGTGTGTTTTGCCAGTATGTATGTAAGTGCCTCCATATGTGCAGTGACCATGGAGGGCAGAAGAGGGCATCAAATACTTTCAAACTGGAGTTACAGACAATTGTTAGTGCCTTGTGGGTGCTGGATTCCCAAACTCAGGTCCTCTGCAAGAGAGATCAGTGCTCTTAACTGCTGAGCCATCTTTCTAGCCTCTATTTATCCTCCCCCCATCCCCGGTCTTTTTGAGACAGGGTTTCCCTCTAGTTCCCAGCTGGTCTGGAACTTGCTATGTAGATCAGGCTGGCCTTGAACTCACAGAGATCCTCCTGCCTGTGCCTCTGGAGTGCTGGGATCAAAGGTACATGCCACCACACCCAGCTCTATTTATTTTCTTAATAGCATATAACATATCTGAAGTGTTCTTGTTTTAATGTCTTTATCCTCTAAGTTCCTGCCTTGAGAGTTCCTGCCTTGACCTCCCTCAGTGATGGGTTGTGACATGGGAGATATAAGATGGAATAAACCCTTTCCTCCCCAAGCTGCTTTGGTTAGTATTTTATCACAGCAAGAGAAAGCAAAGCAGGACACCGACAGTCCCCTTGAGTGCTCACCACGGGCTAGCAGGCACTGTGCTGAGTGTTTTCCATACCCTGTCCTGTCTGCCTTTTCTTCTTTAGCTTCACTGCTGGAGATCAAGCCCGCAGGCTCACATATGCTAGGCAAGCACTCTCATTTAACTCTTTCTGGAGCCCTGAGAGTTATGTACCTTTATTATTCCCATTTTCCAAATGAAGAAGCTGTAGTGTAGTGAGGTTTAATAAGAGGCAGAGTTGCCTCTCTCCAGAGGATGTGCCTTCAATCCCTGTGTATTACTACAGCTGTACTTTGACATCTAGAGCAGTACCTGGCTCTGAGCACTATAAGTGTTTGGGAACATATACAGAGAATGTATTAGAATGA